CAATTAATTAATTTCGTTCTTCCTTTCTTTCTTTACTTATTTGCTTATTTGTTTATTCATTTATTTATTCAGTTATTTAATTATTTGTTTCTTTCTTTATCTATTTATCTATTATTTATCTATTTATTTATTTTTTCATTAATTAATTTTTTCTTCTTTAAAAAATAAATTGTTTTACCAGCTACAAGTGCAGTTGGGTTTATGATGTAGAATCCATGCTGATTGTTATTAATTGCCAGGAATTGTGGTGAAATCAGTCACTCGTCAAAATAATGCAATCGAAGGAGGCGGCTTTTTTCTTCTAGTTTCGCAATTTCTAACGGAATTTGTTTTTTTTTTTTCTCAACACATTTTGAGTAATTAAAAAGCACATTGGCTTTTACTGAAAAACATTAAACAAAGGAACAACAAGGTAAATTTACAGTTTCAAGCTGTGGCGGTCATTTTCTTTCTAATTTTATCTCTGAAATCAAGTGACCCCACCTCCTTCAAACGCAAATATCTTGACTTCAATTTGAATATAGGTTGATACTTTTTTTTCCAAATCAAGACTATTGAACCACTTTTTAGATGATACCAGTAACTCCACATGCCCCAAAAAACTGATGAGCACCTGATTCCACCATGTCATGTCACAATTTACAATTTTCCATGACTCAGGCACAGGCTGAGTTTTTTTTCTTACAACAGATAGTAAAACTGTTCAAACATTGGTGCATAGGTTTGGCAAAGATTGCATTTAAGAAACTCTGTAAATTTAAACAACATTACGTGTTTCTGGTCCTGAATAGGACCGGTGCGGTGACCTGAATTCTGTCCTCCAGGTCTGCTGCATATAATAATCAATTTCGACAGAAAAAAGAAAGAAAGAGAGAGAGAAAGTGAAAAAAAATAAAAAGAAAGAAAGAAGGTAAGAAAGAACGAAATCCTCCCCTCCCCCCATTTAAACCTTTGAGATACAGCCTATACATTCTTTTGGTAAACGTACTTGGCTAGACCATGTGCCTGTCTTGTTGTCAAATTCTGTTTCTGTTTATCATTAATGATTTTCATATTAAACATTGGATTGATAATATAAATACATTACTATATGTGTGAATAATTATGTTTGAAAATATTGCTTTTTGAGAAAATAAATCAACATAAGTCAGCTCATATTGCTTCAATGAATATTACAATGCAATAGTATTCTTCTTTATTTTTCTGAAAGTCGTGTGCACATGATTTACCTTAATAGTTTTCATGTATTTAGCCGATAGAGGGTCGGCTTCAACATTTCTGAAAGACATCGAGGGACCACCAGTTCTAATAGAAGAGTTACAAGACGCCATGAATAAAATTAAATAATGGCAAAGCGCCAGGCCCAGACAACATACCCACTGAAAAGATCACAGCACTAGAAGAATTGGGTATAAAAAATGACAAAATTGCTGAACATTACAATATACAACACCGCAGAGATACCAGAAGATCTGAAGAAGTAAACATTTATAGCATTGCCCCCAAAAAACTGGAACAACAGAATGTGAGCAGGACATGACAATCAGTCTTATGAGTAATCTTACTAATGTAATCTTGTAGGAACTAATGGGAAGAATGAGAAATTACTTCCTGAAATCTCTGAAAACGCAATTTCGATTTGCTGCAAATAAAGACACCTGAAATGCCATCGTCACCCTAAAGATACTCTTGGAAAGATCAACTAAGGTCTAGAAAGACCTTTACTTTTGAATTATCGACTACTCTAAAGCATTTGACAAAGTGAGACATAAAGGACTATTCACAATCCAAAAAGATCTGAACATAGATGGAAAAGACCTAAAAATCCCAAGAAACCTCTATTGGGAACAACAGACAGCAACAGGGTCGAGAACAAGCTCAGTGAATACAGGACAATCAGCAGAGAAGTACGATAAAGATGTGTCTTACCTCCAGATCTCTTTGATTTAGACGGGCGAAATGATACTGTGTAACATCAGTGAAATAGAAAGTATCAAGGTAGGCGGTTACAATGCTAACAACCTACGTTACGCTGAGGATACAGTCCTGATAGCTGACTCTGACTCTAAGCTCCAAGAGATTCTAACTAGAATGAAAGAGAAGATATATATATAT